ACAACTTGTATAAAAAAAACATACACAATGGGGTTCAAACCCACCCCGGGAAAATTAAACCCCAGGCCCGGGCCAGGGTGGGGCGAAAGCTTTAGCCCCCGGGCCCAGGGGCACTGTGGTCGGGTGTATTCTGGTGCCTCTGTTTTGGGGGTTTTCCCCATCACGGGTTTGGGGTTTAAAGGGGTGCCTAAAAAAATTTTCCAGGGAATGTCTTGAGAGACCCTTTGTTTACAGTCTGGGGAAAAATTATGACCCCAAACTTCAGGAAAAAATTTTTGGGTTTAAATTTGAAACATTTTGAGGATGGGATATTTTGAAGTTTTGGAATTTTATAAAAAAAATTTCCCTAAGGGGTGCCATGCAGCGTCAAGAGTGGGCTCATTTGTTTTTTTGGGCCCAAACCGGGCACTATTTTAAATTTTAAGCTCAGTTTGATGGCATATGTGATTGATAATGTTAGGGGAGAGTGTTTGTTTTTTAGACTTTTTATACCCCATCTAAACCCCACAAGGGAATAGTGATAATTTTCGCCCCCAAAGGCAGATGAGGCTGTCTTCAAGCTAAAAAATTGGCACCTCTTGCAATTGGTGTCTAGTTGTTCCCAGATTTCTAGGGGTTTTCACACTTCTCAACGTTGCCATAATTTTGGTTTTATCCCTTTTTGGGGGGCAATTTTTTAAAGGTTCTCTAAACATGGAGTTATGCTTTTTTTGTACTTAAAGTGAGGTTGTGATCGGGAAAACCCAGAAAGCTGTATTTGAGGGTTGGGCCTTTTGATCTTTTTCCTTATTGTTTGTGAAGATTTATTTCTAGTTTTTTTTTTTCATTTCAAAAGGGTTCTGTTTCTACTGTTCTATGCAAACTTCTCACAGAGCCCCACAAGATCTCTGATATGTGTCTATTAAGCTAACATTTTTCCCAAATTACTATTTCGGGTACAATTTTTTGTCTACCTTTTTCCTTTTTAAAAAAAATCGCATATGGCTGTAAGGAGAAATCTTAATTTTTCCTTTAAATTA